TTGTGTAGGCTCTTTGTCCGCCTGTTGTTGGACTGGAAAACAGATTTGTTTTTTATTACGCTCGGTCATTTTGATCAGTTTTGAATTTGTTGTTGCTCTGCATGTAAACTTATGGCATCAGAAAAACTAAAACTGATTTAACGAATATGTTTAATTCTCGTTATATATACAATAAACAAATTACAACACAGAAAGTACTTTGTACAGATTTTTATTCACTCGTTGAAAAACTTTGGAAAACTCACGCGTTCGCTGCGCTCACCCGTTCGTTTTCCAAAGTTTTGCAACTCGTGAATAAAAATCCGTACGTAGCACTTTCTATGAAGTAATCTATATGTACCAAGAATCATAACGCACGTGCACAGCTGATCCCATTGTTCTGCTCATTAAACCTTTTGTTTACAGACGTCCCCGATGTCGTTGCCGTCGTGGGTTTCTTAAACTGCCTGGTTTCGGTGACGGCGAACGCCGTAGTCGCCATCACAGATACCAGCCGGTGCAGCAAAAAAGTTAAAGAAAGAAGAAAGACAAATCAATTCTTACCACAAACACCACAGCTCTTCATGCAATTCTCTCTCATCCAGGTAAAGTACTTAGAATCTTTCTTGCAGAGTCCAGCATTCACCCAACCCTGGCACTTCTCGGGTGAGTGATATTCGTCCTTGCAAGCTGTAGAATGAATCGAAACTGTGGGTAAGATGATTGATATTGCATTTGTCACCATTTACTTTTAATTAGATTATCGCCCTTATGATTTGTAATTAATAAATTGCTCGTCAGTCTTTGGATTCCATTCAATTTGCAAATCAAAACCAAGCCCAAAGAGATATACAATTTTGGCATTTTCATTCAGCACTAACTTGGTTCCAACTCATTCTTTCAAAATATGTATTCTCTTTGTATCCGTATTTTCTCTCTGGCAAGCGTAAAATGTACCATAAACAACCGAAAGTAACAAGTATTTATTCCGGAATTAGCAGCCTTTGGGGCTCGTTACTTTCGGGTCTTTACACACGGGGGGTCGTTACTTTCGGGTAGCAAAAACGTTATATAAAGTTGGTAGGACTGAGCTCTTTTTAAGAAATAAAAGACGAAATTAAATTTGTATTAACAGTTCTTAAAACGTGAGATACAATTCTTCGTCCCGGTTACGTTTACATCTATGTTGCTGCCACATGGGTGGGTTCTTCATGTCTACATCATGTTGTCAGTAGTCGGCAGGAACGCTGATCAGATTCCGGTGTGAGCTCGCTACTTTCGGAAGTTTTCTGTAACTAGAATGACTTGCTTGATTATTTCCACTCGTCATTGTATGGAAAAACCACTAAAATATTTAACTCAGCTGTGTTTGTAGCGATCTATTTTGAATCCTACCCCAAAATGTTCCTTTCAAATGCTAAGGCTGCAGTTTAAACGGACGCGGTTTCAAATCAGCACGGCTAAATCCTTTCGAAACCGCGTTTACACGAAAACGATTTATCCGTTTTCTTGGCTGTTACGTCATAACCGCGACATGCTTTGGTACCAGAGATCCAGAGAAGATTATACCTTGAATCGTCGTCCTTTTGTTTTGGGAATGGCGAAACGTTAACGTTTATTGGAGCGATGGAGATGGAGAAGCCGTTTTCAAAAAGACACGGTTAACCCCGTTTACATAGTTCATGAAACCGTATCGTTTTGAAAACGCTCCACTTACGACAGCGTTCTCAAAGAAAAATGCGATTTCATTAATTATTCCATCGTCGCCGTGTAAACAGAAGGCGTAACTGCATCGAAAAAGATGTAGTTAGAAATGAAACCGCGTCCGTGTAAACGGGGCCTAAGTTGAAACTGTACATGTATATCGAAAGGGTCGACTAAGCCAATCACTGAGATCAGCATGTTTTTGAACTAGCGTTTTTCCATACCTTCCCCAGTTGATGGGGTGGCGTGGGTAGGTACAGGTTTGGCAGTGACTTTGGGGGTGGGCTTGGCGGGATTTGGTGTTGGCAAAAGATCTGCAAAAAAGAAAAGGAATGCTCTGTAAGATTGAATATAGTTCGTCAGTCTACAAGTGAAAACGGTTTAACTTATAGGACGATAAATTTAAAATTTTCTACTGAGATGTTGGAAGCCGCAGTGGGAGACTTGTTCTTGTATGCTAAAGCTTATATGCTCTTTTTTTTATATATGAATATAATTATTTTATAAGAATATCGAAGCTGAAAATTGCGAAATTTTAAGAAATTTTAGAGCAAATTTGAAAAGAATATAACTTTGTGTGTTGAAAATTTGTAAACACAAAGTAATTATATGTTCTTTAACTAAACCGATATATTTACCGCGCTTAGGCGTTTCAAGGAGTGTGAGAAATATGATTGAATTCTTTGGACAACCGGCTCAATTGGGTTGAGGCCGGCCGGTTGAGAAATTATTCAGCCAAACCAACTTTAAAAGGATTTTTCTAAGAGAACACGGGATATAACCCGACCAGCCTAAAACGGTTGATTTCGAACCACAACACTACCCAACTTTAGTCTGGAGATTCCAGGGATTTCAGAGAGACGAGAAAGAAAGAGAAGTTCATTAAATTTTGGTATTTTATTGAATTAGTCGACAACGTACCGCAAACACATGTCTTGACGCAGTCCAGTTTCATGTAAGCCACAGAGCATGGGTGACCGTTCTGCACCCGCCATTTGCACGTGTCTGTTCCCACTTTGTCAAAACACCGTTCTGACAAAAAATTAGCAAAAATCTTTAGTTTTTCAACTAATGCATTTAAGTATTTTAAGGGTTTACTAGACGTTACTTACTTTCACAGTTCTCCCCATACCATCCTTGATCACAGATTTTCTCTGTAGACAAAGCCGAATACGTGAGTCGTGAGTTAAAGTTCTTCTCTCATCGCATTAGACTTTAATGTTAACTGCTACCTTGACTGAAAATGTAATTTGGCGTTGATACTTGAAGGCCAAATAACAACAACAACGGGTCAATAATGTTACGGCGGGTGGAAATCGATATTTTTCAGTACGAGGATATAGCTTACTAAACAGATTCGGTGTGTGTGTAAAGGAAACAAACGTACTAAACGCTATAAACGGAATTATATTTCTTACGTGAGCAATCCGCGCCTTTCCACTTGCCATAGCACGTGCAAGTGCAGGTTTTTTGGTCGACCTGCCCGCCATTCTTGCACTGCAAAGGACATCCTGAAAAACAAGACAAGAGAGGGTACATGTGCGTGCTAATTGAAATAATCGAACGGTAAACAGCTTGCATTCATGATTAAATAGTTTATTCCATCATATCACTCCTTTAATTTCACGCGCTGCACACATCACTACTTTCCAGTCTATCCTCAGCATGTTAGGATGTCCACATCATTCATGTCCTACTAGGCGTTCATTTGGTTGGTTAAGCCCCTCTCTCATTCTTTTTTCCCCTTGCGTTTTTCGCGTGGCAACCTAGATCAAGTTCTTTTGTCCCAGCTAGCTGCATGCGGGAACGCCTGGAAGAGGCTAATTCGTATTGTAAGTCGGGTAGAATTGCTAGCCTTAGTGGAGCCTTTACCGTGATAATTTTGAATTACTCACGACAGAGGTTGCACATGTGTGGGCAGTTCTTTTCCATCAAGTCTCTCTTTGTGAGGCACATGCTTTTCGTGTACGTCGAGCCACATTTGGGGCTAAAATTCTTGCACTCTCCTGTAGCAAACAAAGAAAAGAATATAGTTACCGCTTCATATGATATGAGGAGTTATTTACCCAATATCACTTTGACGATGTATCATTCCCGGGTATTTTAAGGAGAAGTAAAGATTTTATCATTCGAAAACGGCCGCTCCATTGGGTGTCGCAGACCAATATGCATTATTCCCCAAGATATATCCACTGAAACAGCATTATTCGTGTGAGACAATGTGAATCTCTTCTGCGACTCTGAAGGCACAACAGTTGCATTTATTCCTATAGTTCAATGCAATACACTCAAGCACGCACAAACGTTATGTAACTGCAAACCGCTTTTTCTTTTCCTTTTGAAGCCGCAATATGTTCGCGATAAGGCTTGTTCCTTGGGTTAATACACGGAAAAGCCTGTCTTTCGGCAAGTACATCGTTTGCTTTCGTTTACTCAGTATAGTTCTTTTTTCCTTAACCTCGTTCCCAGGGCTGGAAAAAAGGCTTGGAAACGAGGTTGCTTTTCCTTGTGTCGTCATATATACTCACTGCAAAGATTCTTGTAACACCATCCCTGTCCACTGGCACACTTGGTACATGGAGTACCAGGTGTGTAGGGAAGCTGTCCAACTACGTTACCGCTGCAAAAAGAAATGGGACCATGAAACAAATATCAAATATGTTCGTCAATCTTTCTCATTTTTCGCTGACCTCTGAACTGATCTTCCATCATTACCTTGCTTGAAATTATTTCAGAGCTTCCATCTACACAGAGTCGTTGACCACCGATGTATTCACTTTGTCCACAACACATACCTTTGAACTACAAGCACGTAATTCGTGGGGCATTCTTTGGAGTAGGCTTCCACAACCCCGGGGACTCCAACAGCGCGATGTTAAAGGGAAGGGGGTACCGTCGGAAAATGTAAAGGGGATAAATCTGTGATCTGCTAAAGCTTTCCGTGGCCCCTTGAAAGAAACCTTGCTAAAACAGCAATTAAGAAGAGGTTTTGTGCCAGATCGATCTAGAGCATCAGCACAGTTTGACGGCGTATTTTTGTTTCTTCACCTGCAACCCTGAACTGAAGAGACTTAAAAACATTTGTGCTTGATCCTGAACAACCTAAGTGACACCAAAATCCCTACATTACACCCTTAAATGAAACGGCGAGCATCAAATGGGAGTTTCCCCTTATTTGACAAACGATCATATTATACGCATATGACGTCACCAAAATTCTCTCAGAGTCGAATATAAGTTCAACAACACGTTTCGTGAAATAGAAGAAAGGGTTGTATCCATGCTATATAAACTTGCATCTTTGCATTTGGTAAAATGAAGTACCATCTTCCATGCATGATCGTATTGAGGCAGTTACCTTGGGTAGTAGTCGCAGGTCACAACAGTCTCTCCAGGAACCCAGGGGTGAGGCTGACCAAAGTATTTGTCGCACCACCTAAAAGCGCAGCCAACTTGTTTGCTTTTTGCCCACACAACCTTGATGAGGAAGGAAAAAAACCCTCTATTTTTTTGTTTTCTCTTTAACGTTTAAAATTAAGGCACTGAAGAAGAAGCAAAATCGTTTATTATATAGACGAATTAATTTGGTGTTTTTCATGGATCACATTTTAGAATATTTTTATTTTTTCGACGCACCTGTAAAGTTTTGTTAAATTCAGCTTTAGAGCTGTGATTTAAAAGCTTCAATAAACTATCTAGCTAACTCCATTCAAGAGACACAATGGGCCTGGATACAGCGATCATTCCAACAAAAGTATTTCTTCAGCCGCTAGCTCCATTGATTTAGTGCGAGTACCTATTAAACAAAATAGACCTTTTCAGCTTGTTTGGTTTGTTACCCCATTTCAGACCATGTGATGATACTCTCTAGAATTCTTGCTTTCAAATTTTCAAACAGTCGAGTGCATATATATGTATATTTTTTAGATGGATAAAAGAGCAACTTTCATCAGAATATTCATATTACATGGTCTGCAATGGGGAAACAAACCGCCCAAACTAGAAAGGTCTATTGCGTAGCTCGAGATTTTTTTTTCTCTGAAAAAAGAAAGCAGTGGCTTCTTATGCCATGCATTTCGGCGGCAGGATAATCATGTTTGCCGAGAAGTACAGAAATATTACCGAAAGTCTTGTTATAGATTTCTGATATTACTAACCTGTGTGTAATGCCCACAAGGTTCTTTGCGGCACATCCACGATGGCATTGGGTAGGCAAACTTTCCGAACGTGTAATAACTCTTTTCAATGAACCATCTACGCACGGAGTCCTCCGGCCCGGCTTCTTTGTTCTCAATCCACTTGCCCCATTCACGCGCCAAGTTTTGACCTAATAAATTTAATTAGACAGCACGGAAATAAATCGATACCCCTGTCCAATGTTGGCAAAACACTTTCATCCAACACAAGTTTTCATTTTACCATTCTCCAACATTGAATGGAGGATTGGGAGAGCTGACACTTATTCTGTGGGTATTACGGTTATGATTTCATGTTGTTGCGCGTCAGTTTCCAACGCAATTAGTCCATGGTTGTAGACAGACAACCCACATCTATACCTCTCTAGCCAGACGCTTCTATTCGTGGAAACAATTTTAGCAGCTTCTTTACAAGACTTTCGGTGTAAACTATGGCTTGTTTGTGCATATTCAGGTTACAAAAAAAGGTTTCTTGAGTGTACAAAAACAGCAAAATTTGCAGCCGATACTTAGTTCGCCTGGTGTATTACGTAACACTTTCTAGTGGAAAGGACAAGATAAACCATCAATTGTAACTCACAAGTCAACAGAAATCTTCGTTTTCGAGCTGGAGGTCCTCGTTGAGAACACAGAATCCTGTTATTGATCATCAATTTCGTCTAAACATTGTCAAAGTAGCTGTGGATCCGCAGACTACTTTGACCATGTTATGACGAAATTAATTGTCACTAACAGGACAGACGCATGAAAAACTTATGTCAATTTGTTTTTTACGATAACTTACTGTCAACTAGTCTGCTCTCGCTCTTTGCCACATCGCATAAATTATAAATTCATGTGTCTGTCCGCTTATTGACAATGAAAATTAGCCAATGAGCGCGCGAGAATTTCTGCAGCTATCGTAAAAATGGGGATAGTACAAATCATTTAACGTAATTTGTGCATGTAGTAGGTGTTAATTGTCTTTCTCTTACCTACAGACTTGCTTCGGAATATTTGGTTTGGGTACCACGCCCCGAACTTGGTAAAGCCATGCATCCACTCGCACTTATCCGACCACATTTGTGCCAGGTTACCAAGATCATCATTCCATTCCTACATTAACGTAAGGTAAGAAGAACACGACATAAATTTCTAATACCTGCAAGGGTCAACTTCTGTTTAAGTCGTTCCCCGCCGGAGAAAATGTCTCGATTTTTTTTTCTTTCCGGAAGGGCGGCTATAACACTAGCTTCCTACGTAGACGTTTTATGGGATCGTCACGCAATCTTCTTCCCTCACGTAGGAGAGGAAGATTGCGTGACGAACCCGAAGTGCGTCTGCGTAGGAGGGTAGTGTAACACAGACTACGATTCAATGAGTATCGTGGATGGGATAAACATTTAATTTGTTGGAGCTTTATCACTTGAAAGCTTTCTCTAAACCCCAATATTACTTTATTAACTTCGATACAAAGAAGTGCCAAGGCGATAGCGAAATTTATTGATTAGTTACGGGACGGGGGGTTTGCTATACCGAAATTCTGTTCCATGCATTTTATATAAATAAATAATAATAAATAATAATGATATTTTACTGTTTATAGTACCTTTGCCCGGCTTGAAGATATATCGTTTGATGCATGATTAGTCCCATTAAGTTAAGCACATTTTAAACACATTGATAATGGCGGAGCACGGCCAAGATAAACATACTGGGAGAAAGAAAATCGGGGAAAGGCTCACGTGCGATACGAAAGCTCTGTGTCACGCATTGCGATTTCGTGACGAAAAATATTGTTGGCGAATATCTGATAATGTTTTCGCCTTCATGTCAGTCAACTGACTTTGGGTAGTCTCTATATTTACAAAAGAAATAATCAAGGAAGAGTTTTGCGTTTATATAAAATCGTTTGCGCCCAAATTTCCCTCTTAATGGGCCATTTTTGATGTTGCCTCTTGCGTCGTTCATTCTGAACGAGGACCAATTCATCCCTTGTACATGCATTTTGAGTTAAAGTTAACAAGGTCATCGCATGACCGGAAATATTATGAAATATCAAACCGGAAAAGTTCGGGTTTCAAAATCTTGCAATTTATTCACACCTTTCAATCTCTAAAAGCTTGTATAATTTTGACAACCAGCAACTACGTTGTCAGAAAATTGTTAATAACATAGAAAATAGATAACTGTTTATTTACAAAACGTAACGAAATGATACCTTGTAAAAAACACTTACTGACATGAATACAAAACTATTCATGTCAAGGAAGTCTGACATTGAGGGTCTGGATGAGTCTAACTGATAGCTGAGATTTGATAAAAAACTATCCGGTGAGAAAAACTGCGTTTTTTAACAGATAGCTCTGAGATTCGAGAACTAAAAAATTGGCTGATTGCTGAGTGATAAATGAACTGAAATTGTTCACTGATTGCTGAGAAATCGCCGAAAATTTATCAGATAAACTGAGACTACATCCCCTCCATCCAGATCCTCAAAAGTTGACAACGTCTTCGAGTTAATTACATTTCTGACAAGTAATCTAAACTACATGATCTAGATATGGATTTAAATTTATCCGGTTTCTTTACTTTAAAACGGTCTTAGTTAATGTTACTGAATCGAATCCAAAAAAACATATTAACCAAACCAATCATGAGCAACTTTTTAAAAGTTATTCTAATCTACATTAGTCTGTATACAGTGTACAATAAAAAATGAATGATTGATTGATTGATTGTTAAAAAGTTTTACGGCCGGCCAACAACTTTTTTGCCTTCTCGAAATCCTCTGTACCCCAATTTTTCTTCAAAATAAACAATTCTGTTATTTCCCGACTCTCTGATTGTTAGATTCAGTCCGTTTTGTTTTAAAAAAAAAAAAAACGTTGAAAGCTCAGATATCAAATAAACAAAACACTGACCTCTTATGTAATACATTTCTACTTAGAATCCTTAGAAGAGTTGGATCAAAGGATCGGAGCATGGTTTGTTATTACACATGGCTACGCTTGGTTAAACCCGACTCAGTAGCGCCATCGTAAAATTCCAGCTAATCCAAGAATGTGCTGAGCGGAAAATAATGTAAAATAAACCCTGCACTCTTACACGATTTAGCGCAGATCACACCAATCTCGACCGAGAAATGGCCTGTAACTTCTAAGTGAAACTGAGACAAAAAATTTTACGAAACACCGAAAAATTCATCCCATGCGATATAGCAGATGACTGATGATCATGTCAATCTATTCGAAAATCTGAATGCGATGATTACCTAAGTCGGACACAACAATTTTACCATCGCTACGAACTGCTGTGGAGACTGGGTTATTTAACTCTCTTCTTTCGCTGCCTTTTCTTCCAAACTTTGTTACAAAGTTTCCGCTGAGTTCAAACAGCTGAACTCTGTCATTGAATTCATCACAGACCAACAGCTGACTATCTGAATCACAGAAAGTGTCCCATTATTACTTTATGTCGAACCAACAAATAAAACGCTAGAACAAATGGAAACTATAAGAGTGTCGACTTTTCCACGAGAATAGAGCATTTTCGAGTTATCTTGTGCCTCTGTTTTAAAATGAGTCTTCGTGCAAAACCTTTCTTATGAAGTTAAGTTTGATTTGCATGAAAATGAACCTGTTGCGGGAGGGGGGGGGGGGGGGGACACATTTTCATATGAATGCTTTGCGGTCATATTATCTCCATTTCGCAAGAGTGGGAACTTTGATCCGTTTTAAAAACTTCGGGAAAAATCGTCTAAAAACTCCTTAAAAAACGGCGCAACCCTTTACCTGCCTCGTGCCATTTTTAAAAGTTATAACTTTCTTCATATACCGAGCCATAAAACAGAATTACTCGAATTAGTACATAGGCGACCGCACTGTTAATCACAAGTATAAGAACACCCATTGCAAAAGCGATGTTGCATCAGTTGTTACACAGCGTAATAAAAGCGTTTCTGTGAACAAACTCTTATCCACTTCCAGTTCTCTTACTTGGAGGCCAACTTTGCGCCTTAATAACATTGAATTCCGTACGGGTTCTACCATTAAACTAACAGGATCGAAAGTTAACCAGGCCCTTCTGGAATTCATCTTAATGTTTCTTAATTTGTTACCTGTTGCATGTTGACATTAATGGACTGACAACTCAACAGAATGGTCTTCCACTGTTCAGAAAATGTCGTTTTGTTTTTGTTTGAAACAACGCCTGTGGCTTCGCTTGCAGCTTGTTTCCTTCCTGTCTATGGATTTTAGAGGTGATATTTTTCTTGGACGTTATACTTTGGCGTTTTACCTTATTTAATGAACTCATTAGCACTCATTTTGCCTCAGTATAACTCATTCTTTGTCGTCAGGGGCGGATCTAGGATTTTTTTCAGGAGGGGCTGCACCACTAAGTGGCGTAACTGACTGGTAAGTTAAACAAATTTTTAAAAGCAAATACGAAGAAGAAGACTTCATCTCAGGAGAGGGGAGAAGTGCGCATCCCCTGCACCCTACCCCTAGATCCGCCCCTGGTAGTAGAAGGGCTTCTTTATAAAAAAGAACTGAACACAAAACGTATGTGCCGTTCTTCGTTTAACAACAACGCTGATTAAACTGATGAACGCGCATGTTAAAAACTTGAAATTCAAGAACAGGTTGTACGAACTTACACTTAGCAAAACAGCTGCTATAAAATGCCACAACACAGCAACTTTTAGTTCCATTTTGTATCGTGCTAAATGGAAATTAAAGACTTAAGACTTTTCAGAGCCCTCAGGAGTGCTAAACTTTTAAAACTCTGGTTTCCTTAACATAAAGTCCCTAGGGGCTGGGTGTGAGTGCTATCTTATTGGTTCCAATGCTTATTTGAGTTTGAAATTCTGTGCTTTTAATATCAAACGGAGTCATTTATCATTACGTTTAGTTAATCGTGGGCTAAGTGGTAAAGTTGTACAACTCACCAAGTACTCCATGTCCGCTGCACTTGGCTGTACCTCTCCACGGAACTTGTTGTGAAAGTCCACAAATTCCTCTTTTAGCTCGTCACTCAAACGACACTGAGTAAAATCACTCGGCTGAGGGGTAGTGGGGCCCATTTGACCGCCCATGCTGATTTTTAGAACAGTCGAGAGCCAGAGCAAGGAACACACCACGGAAATCATAACGTATTGCTGAGATTGAACTGTTGTGCAAAACGATGCTGTAACGAGCAAACGATATTAAATAATAATAATACTTAAATAATATTTAATATTTCTAAGGCGCAAATTAACATGTGAATATGATCAAATGCGCCTAACAAACCATATGAGTAATATAAATTAGAACGTGCACCTTGCTCAGGGTGGGGGACTCCCATACATCGGCTATACAGGTATGTGCCGCGGGATAGGGTATGGTTTTTGAGGTTTCCGATACTTAAATAGGGTATTATTTCAGCCTCTGTTAGCATCATATTCCCGATGTGAACCTTAAATAGGTAAAGCCTGCATTCGAGGCAAGTGGCCCATGAGGCACGAGCTTATGCCGATTTCTGTAGCATGAAGCGACTGGGAGTATTTCTACTCCCCCCGGCCTGGATAGGATGCTAGTCCATCGCAGGGTTATCCCCCAGCATTAAGTTCGCTGGTACCCATTTAAACACCTGGGTGGAGAAAGGCACTGTGAGAGTAAAGTGTCTTGAACAAGAACACAACACAATGTCCCCGGCCAGGACTCGAACCCAGTAATCATGAGGCCACCGCGCCTGCCGAACCTTGAATAGGGTGTACCTCAATCAGCTAAAATAGGCGATCTGTATGATGGCGTCATTTGACTACAATTTAACTACCAGAATCCTTTACTTTTTCTGTTTCTTATGGGCAATTGTTATTTAAACCCCACTGAGACTTTAAAATTTAGATAATTAAGAAAAAACGAAAGGAATTCTGGTAGTTGTGGTCAAATGACGATATCGTGCAAATCTGCTATTCCTGTGCATAAATGCCCAGCTAAATGAAAAACAAATTCTATGCTTGATGCTTAACCTTCAATACAGAAACGAAATATAGCTGACCCGTTCACGCCATTTTAAGTTTTAGTTTTTCCCGTGAACAGGGTGTCATTTTTCGAGTTTGTGCCTTAAATGGGGTATCAATTTGCGTTTGCTTCATCCTTAAAAAGGACCAAGGTTTAACACCCTCCGGGCACACACCTATCCGAAATTTGCGGCAGTACCCATCGCCCCGCGGGGGCCTTGCTCCCCTATATTTGAATAAAAATTGGTAGCTACTGATCATGATTCAAATCTCTCTTTAGAAAGTCCTGGAAGACAGTTATGTCTAATTGATATGGATCTTCACCAATTAGGTAGATTGGATAATGTCATGGTCCAATGGACTAAATTTAACTGTCGATGCACAAACTAAGTGCATGGTCTTAATCCGGTTTTAATCCAACCAATAGATTACATTTAATTGTCAAACTACGGATTATTCAGGCAATATTTACCACAAATCGTCAATAAGTTGTTTCAATAGGCTTAATCATGCGTGCTAAAAAGCTATATGGCTCACGGAAATCTGTTTAAATTTGAATCAAAATTTTAAATTTAACCGTCAACTTACAGGGGTAGCCATATACAGAATATGAGACCGTCAAAGTCAGATTTGAATCAAACTTTTCGTGATTACTAGTTTTCTTTTCACCAAATTCTGTAGCTGCTCCAGACCTCTCAGATTGCGGCCAGAGCAAAGGATACACAAGTATGGAAACCGAGAAACAGAGACAGACAAGCTAAAGATAAGGAGAGCGGGCAGTGAATTGACTTTGGTAAATATACTGCTGGGGTTTACATTTTTAACTCCGCTAGTTTATATGGTCCACCAGCTATCACGATCTGATTGCCTGGAACGAGCTAAAAATCCCGCGAGTTTAAGAATTCATAATTCGTTTGTCAATCAGTGGTACAGTACAGTGTCTTCACCCAGAATTGACAGAATGGCCTCCGCCATTATGCATTAAACTGTCTTTACCCAAAGTGACTTGTGTTTGCATCCGATAAAATGTGTTGAACTCAAAGACCTCAAGATTGACGCCGCGCTGAGGAGAAAAGTAGTCGCGTAGTCTTACCTTGGCGCTAAATGCCGTCCCCTACTCTTGAAATTTAGACAACTGGGCAATACACTTAGTCTGGGATGCTTGAAATAATTATTATTTTGCCCCACTTCTTGTTTTTAAACTGCTTCGAAAATCGCTATCTTGTATTATTTGTCATTTGTGATGTGATAAAAGGCTGACTTACCTGAATTTCTCCAGAATATTTTGCCTTCAAGCGTCTGATATGCTTTACAGAGAGATCTTGCCAGCTGGCCGTTAGTGTCTAAGTGCGTCTAGCTAAGAGCGCACGCCAATTTGTAGCGTTGAAAATGATCAGTTCTGCTTAGCGCGCTGTTCCTGTAACGGTCGGTTAACCCTGACTCTTTGGTCTCCCGCCGTTTTATGAAAGACTGTTTATCTTTCAGTACTTATTGTATGTCTCTTTTGTTAATTTGTTTTGACTTTTTGGACGCTGTGGACATAGAAGAAGTCTTTATCAAAACTACAGTTCTACTGGAATAGTGCAACGTTCTGCGTCGAATTATGTACAACGAGCGGTTTTTGACTTAGTTTTTCACGAACAAGCATATTGACAAGCAAGGCTTGCACAAGGCGTTTTTTATAAAACTCTTTTCGTGACTCGCTGTGTTGTCAGTAAACTTTAATGTTTGTTCCATCGTTGCACGTGACTGGCTGATAGAAATTATGCTCTGTTCCAATTTGAAAAGCTTGATTGACGCTTGATTGAAGCGTACTCTTTTCAATTCGATTTGTTGTCATTTTTGATTACGTTTTTTAGTTGGCCGTTACACAAACGGTCTCGAAACTACTAAATAGTCACGGAAAACGTTTTGAAAAATACCTGTGAGAAATTTTAACTTATCGAATTGCTTTCTAGTTTGCCGTTTATAAAAACGCTAAATGTGACATATTTGCAAATGTTTGCGCAAACATTTGCAAATAATTAACATATAGCATGTCTAGCATGCTTATGTTCCATTCAGCCTATTTGCATCAGTGGACTGAATAACTCAGCTGCAAACTTCTCCCGCCCTTTACCGTTAAACTGAAAATTAAAATTTTTCGAAGCTCACGATTACAGTTGTGTATCAGTTGGATTAACTTTTAAAGAAATTCTTTGAGACCTTTTATCAAACCCTTGCAATTCAGTAGCAAACGGTCCCGACATTTTGATCCAATACTTCATCATCATTGGTTCATCAAGCTCTGTCAAAACGAATGCATGCAACCGATGTTGGGATGTTCCAAATTCCACGTTACTTTTTGAATATGTAGGTCGACAAGCGTTTGATCATCCTCCAATATGTCTCAACAGGGTGTTCAATTGGCCTCAAGATTTTCACCCAACATGCATGTATTGCCACGGGTTATCCGCGCGGGACTTAATTATAGAGAGTTTAAGCATGGCCTCACTGCAAACGGCAAAGGGCAACAATGAACCTTTTGTCATCTGTCTTCAGCTGTCTGTACATTAGAGTGAAAATATTTGTATTTGCTGTGAATAGTTGGAGACGTTTTACTACGTTGTGTGATTTATTTGAGGATTAGAAGAAAAGAACACAAACTCAGAGGTAACCTTTGCCGTTTGCCGTCTGCCTCAAGCTTCTTGCTTAACTCTCAAATGACGTCGTTAAACACTTGTTCGTTCTTCGTTGAATGCCCTCCCTCAGACTGAAGTTCCGAGGTCCGAGCCGAGTGAGACGTAACAAGAGCACACGGCGAGAGCGTATTTATTAAGACCAGTAATAGTTCTCACTAAAGCTACACCCGCTTATTTTGCTGATTGAACACACTTAAACATTTAATATGCATGAACTAAAACTTTTATTTCTTTTTCTGTAAACTATATCACTCATACTGACCATAATGCCCCTTAGGCAATTGAATAAGATCCAAACTATCAACTAAGGAGACTAAACCAACGCAACACATGTTTTTTTAACTCTTTTCAGACAGTTTTAAATGACAAATTTGACGGCCGTCGATAAAACCAGGAACATGAAACATTCCGAAACATCCCGGAACATCGAATAATTATCATAATTATGCGAAAAACATGTAAAGTGAAATTTTAAAAAATTAATTCAAACAAAAATAAACTGGTATCAGCTCGGAAAATAGAAACAAAACAAACATAAAAAAAAGAAAAAAGAAAGAAAAATGAAAGTCACTGCAATGAGTTAAGGCTAGCAACTAAAAGGAGTGATCAGTTTAATCACGTGACTGTCCTTTATTTCCAGATTTCGTTCTTTACAGAAAACTAAGGTGGTGGCGTTCGAACTCCTCAATCAGACCTAAAATTATGGGTACACGAGTGTGATTTCTTTATTCAATTCATTATGTCAATACAAAGATATGCGTATACACGATTTCTCATGAAGAAATAGTTTCTCCATGAGATAGAAATAGAAACTCTTCGGCATCGAGTTTCTTGTCTAAACTAGTTCCGACTGCTCGACCTCTGATGACAGTGTAAACAAATACAAACACAAAATTCAAAAACATTTGGCGACGCGCGCGCTGTCCTGCGGGGTCGCTGGTCAAAACTTTATTGTCTCTAGAAATATTTGTTACAAGTGTTGGCGATCTGAAATTGAATTCTAAGTGTCGCCAACAGTTTAAATGCATCTCCTAGAAAATGTTTGTCCAGTACAAGTTAATACTTAATTAATTAAAAATACTTTTACCGCAGGCTACAATCTATTCATCGCTAGTTCAACTTCACGTGCAGATCGTTATCTGACATTCGATCAAACTTAGTTTTCTATCGAGCCATTCGAACACCACCAAAGGAAACCAGACATGCGAAAACCGCACGTGAACGCGCTGCTCTATAAATCTTTGATTACCACTAGTTTATTAATAATAACTTCCTTGTTACTCGGGCTTCCGGAAAGGCCGAGTCTGCACTTAGTGGATCATAGTGCCAGGCGTTCCAAGCGGAGAGGCGCGAAAACTGGGGATGATAAATAGCAACATGAAGATGGAATAGGGACAAAACTATGAATACTGGCTTAACAAGCAACTGTATGATGCTCAGACAAACACCTCAGATGTTGGAGAAATCAGGGATCAAAAAAGGAGACGTAATGAATTACCTGGCATTCATCGTCAGAATCGTCCATGTTTGTGTTGAAAAACAGAGTGCTGAAAAGCGACGTGACGCAATTGCCGGGAAAGAGGAGGAGCCTGCGCTCATTGTGGTCAGTTGAATGAATACCCAACGTTCCCTACCACTCTGCTACCGACTCCCCTATCCCCAATAATATCTTTTCATATTTCAAGCTGATACCAGTTTATTTTTGTTTGATTTAATTTTTTAAAATTTCATTTTACATATTTTTCGCAAAATTATGATAATTATTCGATGTTCCGGGATGTTCCGGAATGTTCCGGGATGTTCCGGAATCTTCCATGTTCCTGGTTTTATCGACGCCCCAAATTTGAAACGATATTCTTTATATATTAAATATCTCAACAAGCAATTGCAGCAGAGCAGTTTACCATATTTCGTTTGAAAGGGAACAAAAATAACCCCTGGAAAAAAAAACAAACAAAACAGAAAGTAGAACAGAAATTGAGAAAATCTGAAATTTGCTGTCGCGAGTTTTTTCAAGACGAAAACAGAAGTATCGCGTTACGATCACCATACAGACCTTCCATAAATGGCTATAAATGGTCATAAATGCAACGAACGAAAACTTAACGGTGCAAAATGAAGTTCTGATCCAAAGTTATTGCGCTCTATGCTACGTAAGATTACTCACTGAAAATCACTCACTCATCCTCTTCGCTCCTTCGTGAGTGGAGCATATCATAAGGCCATAACTCACTGAAAATAGGCGATCCAAATAAGCGAGATTCCAAACGTAAACCTGGCGATCCGAAGGTTACTCAGTCGCATCAGTTTGAAGTCTTTAAACAACATGCAGTCGCTTCGGTTTGAAGTCTTAAAACAACATGTACTCTCTCCTCTGCAGAGATTCGAACGTCACGTTCGTTATATAAATCCGCTGTGCGAAGTGAGTGCAGGCGCAGAGGCTCTGCCAGATGTATGTCGATTTCCGATTTCTCGTACATACTGGTCAATTTCTCATACATCGATAGATCTCTCGGCTTTGGCTAAACTTGACGGCTCGAAACTCACAGAAACTCATTGCTAATTATGTAGCTACAGTTTGCATTTGTTTTTTGAGATCTAATTTCATATTTTCCAAGAAAAGCAGCAAAAGTGTTTTTCTTCGAAGGTCCCCCTGAAACCCGGGGGGAGTTGTCTTGCATGTTCTCTTTTTCTCTTGGAAGAACAATAATATGGTGGACGATTCGGATCAGCTTGACTTACTGTTCTCTTCAAGAGCTGTCTCTTCATGGTAAATCTGAATTTAAATAAAACAATCTTGCAATCTATACATCTTATATTTTTTTTTAGAGCTTCTGTCAAAACCCCGTCAATAAAACGAAGTAAACAAAAGGATAAAATTGTGTGGGGGTGGGCAGCCCGCTTCCCAAAACCCTTACCCCATTTATGACCAAAATCTGCGATTTTCAATACCCTATTTATGATCTGACCCTAAATCAACACCCTGTTTCAAACCTGCCTTACACTTAGGTTCCTAGCTCAGACCGATGTTAAAGGCATTGTAAGGGGCTTTTGTTGATCAGCCTTATTGATAATGATGAAAATGTGACTTCGTCGAAAAAAAATGCCTAATTCAAGACTAGAGTGCAAAAATCAGACCCTATTAATGATCACAATGGCTAAAACCGATACCCTATTTATGACCAAAACGGCCAGAAAACCATACCCTTTGGGGCCGCACATGCCAATATAGCCCATATAAGGGAGCATCCCCGGGGGATAAGCTTAATCATCGTTTGGTTCTCACCACAGGAATATTGTTATCTACATCTACATCTATATATGTAATCTGCAAAGGGATTTACCCATCACCGCAGATGTAAAAGAGCAAAGAAATTGCTTTACTTTAACAAATGTAAGCTAAGCTTAAGTGGGTGCCTTGTAGGTGGGTGCCACCTAGGGTGCCTTCTTAGCTTTCCAGCTCTGTGGTCGGAGAGCCTGCAGGGGCAAAAATATTCCTTGTTAGGGCTCGGGGGGAGGGGCTCCCACATGAAAAGGTCGGGGTGCTCGTGATCTCGATTAGGGGTGTAAATCAAGGATTTTCGTCAAACTTAGGATGTTCAGGACGAGACATCGCCATTTTTAGCCGCCTAGGTATCCTTTAGGGTTGCACTCGAAGAAATAATAGAAAACGCAGTCTGTCCGTTTTAAAGTGGCATCTTTTCGGGGGCAAATAAAGCTCGAGCCCCCCCTCCCCTCTCCTCCACCCCGGCGACAGTTTTAACGAGGCATTTTCGCTATAGTTAGCGGGTAGAAAAAGAAAGCTTACCAGTACAAAAAAGGCTATGTTTTTACTTCAGTCCGCTTTGGCTTTATTAGTAATATTTATTAACTATACAGTATACTAAAATTACAGCTGTAGTTCTTAGAGCCCCTCTCTGCCGTTTCTATAGCGTCTCACACGACACTTCACTGCGTATGCTGGCAAATCCTATCATTAAGAATATTTCGTTTCGTCATGTACTTGAAAAATCATCATAAATTTCTTCGTGAATATTATTAGTGCTGCGCTCTTTTAATTGTCAAATCAAACCCCCTCGACTATAATATAGCGATCGCAGGCTGTACAATGCTCCAGAAAGCTGAATTTCCATCAAGTTGGAAGAGGCTTCCGTCACAAATCTGAAAGATAAAGGAACATTTCTGGGTGAAGATTTGAGTAGGCATTGGATGATATTGCAGAAAGTAAAAAGCCTGGGGGAGTCGGGGGGAGGGGGTTCGTCGTCGCCGTGGCTATCCCTCGCTTAGGTCGAGGATGATAGTCTTCGTGCTGATCAGCGGAGCGTCCGCAGGTGGCTTATGAGTCCAATTTTTGCCCTAGACGCTCGGCCGCATTATGGGCAACTGGCACCAGGCGGGAGAGCAGGCCGTGTGGAGGGGGGCGGGGGTACTCCCTGTAATGGCCTATATGGTGTGTCTCCACCCGACAGGGGTACCATTGTCAGGCTACAGGTATATCAAAGGGTAAGGAATTCACAAGCTGAGGTTTATGAAAGGGTAGGGAAATCTGTCATTCAGTTATTTAAAATATTTCGAACAGACGCACCTGATGTTGCATGATTTGATTCATTGAGCACTACATGAAAATGACAAGAAATAAGATTTCCTGATTTGGCCATTTATTCATGGAAACGGACCGTTTATGAAAGCATGTTAAAAGGGGTACCTTTTTCAATTTAAGGTTTACAAAAGGGTAAGGGGTTGGATCTCGGGGCGGAGCCTCTCCTGATACAACTTTGTAGAGTACCACCCTCCCCCAGCGGGGGGATGAAAAGGCTCTTGGCGACGGCAATTTGGTGAGATAATTGTCATTCTATCGTGATGTGGCATTCTCTTGACCACGGCCTCGAAAAGTTAAAAGTCTTGTTTTGTTAAAAAATAATAATAATAATACTTTGCTTGTGCAGTGACGTTGTCCGAGGGATATTATCATGAGTTACACACGGATAAGGTTATGTTCTCAAAGCTTCTCAAATTGAGAAAACCAGAAAGAGTTCTTTTATTTCTAGTTTTGTGTTCTAGAATAATAATGGAAGAATTCGCTATTTCTATACAAGAATTCACTTAGTGATATCATCTCGGTGTTCAAAATGTGCACGGCGAACCTTGGGTGAATGAGCGAAGGTACTAAGTCAAAATTTTACCACCCGTTTCACCAAAAATGTAGCGAAGGCTTTAAATTACCTTTGTTCACTATAGCGTTGGAACCCGTCGTGACTTTAGTCCAATTTTTACCGCAATTACGGTAAAATTAAATCTCAATGATAATACCCCTTCGAAGAATTTAACTTACGGTTGTCCAGTTTAGAGACGAAACCAGTCTCCCATTTTGATCTTCTCTCCTTTTATTATCGCTCTCCTTCTTTTTATACACTTGCGGCAAGTTGCAGGGCAGTGAAGTTCCATGAATTCCTTGTTTTCCTTCTGTTCTGACCTGCAGAATCCCTCGAATCGACGGCACAAATCAAGGTGATCTTTGCATTCTACAACCCCAAAAAAAGAAAGGGGGAAAATATAAAAAATTTTCAATAGGCCCTTTCCGAGTTACCTTGTGCCTCGTTTTCAAAACGAGTCCTCGTGCCAAACAGTTCATATGAAAATGAGTTTGATTTGCATGAAATGAACCCGTAGGCGGGACTCATTTCCACATGAATGGTTTTGCACGAAGACTCGTTTTGAAATAGAGGCAAAAGACAACTCGAAAATGGCCTATTGATGGCGACCTCGCGGCATGCTTTAGATATTTTCCGAGGAAACGTAGCTTAGTTTACAAGCACCTGTCCAGGGCGAAACTTTAGAATCTTTTCAGTTTCATCACATTTATCATTACAATAAGCCGGGTCTCTACTGGGTTAAGCGTTGCCTCAAAGCAACCCGGAATAGAACGTCAAATGAAAGGTACTAACGTAAAACAACAACTAAGGTTATCATCATCATCATCATCATCATCTTCATCGTCGTCGTCATCATCATCGTCGTCGTCGTCGTCATCGTCATCGTCATTGTCATTGTCATTGTCATTATCATTATTATCACCGCTTTCTACACCGGCTGGTACAAAACGTTACTGTTTATTGGAAAACCATCAAGGTTTTTAAAATGCTCTTTATATTTTTGTTTGCTTTGAATTTTCGTTTTTAACTTTTGACTGCCAAAGCCATCACTCCATGGTAAAATGCACATCAGCCACAGGCCCATAAATATGGCGGTGATCTTTGCATGTATGGAGGTGATCTTTGTCATGTACTACAAAAAAAGCTCCCTGTAACACTTCTTTTCACGCCAATTAACATTTTCGAAATGCGTTTAAAAGAAAAAATGAATTTAAAAAGTAATTTGAGAGTCACTGAAAAACTGAAGAGGATTCAAGTGTCAAAAGTTTTTTTTCACTTTACTTTCAATGCATTGGCTGTTTATATTTTTAGCGTGTTTTCTTACCCGGGCAGCCTACTTTGCCATAGATATCTCCTCTGGGCGTGTAAGCGTCCCAACAGCAGCCGTACCTGCTTGTTCTACAACCTTGCAAAGGTTCCCCACCTGAACACAACAGTGAGAACTGTTAGACTGATATTCTTCTTAATGGCTTCTATACATTTCTAAGACAATTTTGACTTTAATTTCGAGAACATGATTTCCCCCTGATGATCAGCTCCGTAATTCTCGTTAATTGTGTGTCAGACTTTGTAGCGATGTTGTAAAGAACATGATTTCCCCCTGATGATCAGCTTCGTAATTCTCGTGTCAGACTTTGTAGCGATATTGTAAGGCGAAATAAGATGTCAATAACCAGTAAAGACAAATTTTCATCTGCTTCTGTCTCCCTGGTCTCCACGATATTTCCAGTACCAGCGGTTTTCTTGATCAGTGAGGTTGCTGGGTTACCTTTTAAGTTTTCTCACAGGGTGGGTCAAGGGAATTGATGGGCCCTGGGAACAAGACAGTCGAGCATACTATAACACAAAATGGTTCTGAGTTTTCAAATGCCTTGATATATAAAATGAAGCTAGAACCCGTGTTCTCTTTCCCTTTATTTGAGCTAGTAAATAGGAAGGTTAAGAAAACCACAACGGCAACGGGAATGTCGCTAAACAAAAGGTTTAATGAGCAGAACAGTGGCTGTCCACATGTGTTATAATTCTTCGTACATTTCTTTAGCGTCCTCTGTAAAACCATAACGTGAAATGACCAAATTCTGCGTTGTGTGGAGGACGTGAACCAGGGCCGATAGTTTATATAATGTACATTCCGAATTTTAAGCTGTGTTTCGTATTCAATTTTGAAATAGTTTTGACATAGAGAAACAAACTAAATGACTTTAGAGTATCGCGAGATTCGTGGGTAAAATATAAATTCATTTCTTAACGACGTTGTCCTCGGCCACGCCGTCGTAGTTACTTAAACTCTGTAACATCACTTCTATACTTGTTTTATTACACATGCGTGTTGCGTGACTCTCTGACTGTCTAGGTTGTGTTACTCACAGAAGTGACAGGTCTTTGCGCAGCTTCTCTTCAGCTTGGTCTTCAGCTGACCAATTCCAGTGTCACACACTCCTAATCCCAGCTCCTTGGTAAGCTTCACACAGGTGTCATGTGACCTTTCCTGATCCTTGCATTCTGCAATTTTAGACAGGAGTTTACTTAGCAAATCCCTCTTCCGGGGGGTACTCCCTTACATGGGCTATAAAGGTATGTGCGGCCCCAAAGAGTATGGTTTTTCAGCCGTTTTGGTCATAAGTAGGGTATCGATTTGGCCATTTTGGTCTTAGATGGGGTATGGTTTTTGTACTCTAGTCTTGAATTGGGTATGTTTTTAGAAGAGGCTACTTTTTCATCATTATCGATAAGACCATAAACAAAAGCCCTTCAAAAATTATGTTTAGGGCAACTGTGTCGGCCGCAACTGTCATAAAGAGGATATCGAATTTTTGGTCTTGTCATAAATAGGGAAGGGAAAATCGCAGATTTTGGTCATAAATAGGGTGAGGGTTTTGGGAAGCGGGCCGCACACCACACCCCCACCCAATTTTTCTGGGAGTCCCTCTTAAACTGGGGCAGAAACTAACTATCTTTCCTATGGTTCTCAAAGGTGTATTTCGTTCTTTTCGGACACCTAAGCGATAAGTTTATGTGTTCGAAAAGATGGTTCATTTGAAGTAAGCAAGTGATTGATTTTTGGGTGCTGGGGGCACGCAATCAGCGAAGTAATGAACAGCGCTACTTAAAGTATTATTCAGCATTCGGGTCATTCCTATTTCAATCAGTTGCCTGACTCGCAAGCCAATTGTTTCTAGTTGAGTTTCTTAAGATCAAAATAAAGCTCATTGTCAAATAGTTTGTTAAAAACCACCTAGTTTTGTCTATGACGCAGTAACAGGAAGGGCTTAGGCTCTAAGGCAAAGAGCTGTTTTAAACCTAGTGCATGTTCGCTAGTACGGTCAAGCTATTATGAAACCTTTCATCGACAGGCTTGATTTTGGAATCGGTTTGATTTTAAGACGTGCCATCCAATAACGTATTTATATGAAACTTGGATAAAGGCAACATTGAAAACAGGCTAACGAAATCCTAAGCTTAATTAGTGATCCTAAATGGTAAACAAATTGTAATTTTATTACTGATACTTCATTATGACTTCAATACTGATTTGTCTTGTTCTCGAAAATTAGTGTTAATTAAACGAAGTTATCATAAGACACTGTAAGGCGGGCTTCGAGAAACTGATATGATTATTTTACAGATAAGAGAAGTATAATTTCCTTCTCGTCGCCACTATTATTAGTGCGTTTTAGAATTTGTTCGCAACTTTTTCACTGCATTTGGTCACAGCCAGCGGCATTTTGCCTAAGCAAATTCAGATCTTTAGTCGTTTCAACAAAATGGCGACGGGCGCCGCAATGCTACTGAAGCATTCGACAAAACTTCCTTTACTTGAACATGGCGCGAAATTTTATCAGCGACCTTTATTAGCGCAGGACGCATAGTGACGGCTAATACAGCCTATAATATCTATCGAATTGAATGTAAAAAAGATATATCAAACATATTCGGAAGGTCTTTCTACGTCAGAGTTTGTACCACTACATGTACTGCCAGACTGCGGAGCCCTTTACAGAAATTCCGATGATACCACTCTTTGTTATCACTCATATCGATCAGAAATATATTAAAATAGAGGGATGTTTTGGCAACATGTTTTAAAGTAAGAACTAAGCAGTTTAGGAAGTGTTTTTCTCGCTTAAGGGGCATCAAATGACAAATATGATTTTTCAAGAGGTATAAAACATGACGAAGAAGGACTAAACATATTTTTTGGCGTGATGGCTGGGAGGCGTGAAGTAATTGAGAAACTTTGACCTCCTCAAGCGGCAGCAGGTATCTGATATTATGAGTTGACAAATTGCAATGATGCGGTTTAATTAAGTATCGCTGATAAAAATAGCGTGAGCCACTGCCGCAGCGTGCAATGAAAAACGTTTTTGTGTCGGATTGCCCTGGGCTCGTAGATTTTGCGGTCAAGATTCTATCCTTCCAATTCCCGCTGAGCAAGTGAAGTTTGCAGAGGTGCTGTACTCTCTTTTAGTGCTTTAAGAGATCAAACTGTTAGGAGGGGGGGGGGGGGGTAGTTAAAATTACTGCTAGGTTAGTACATCCAAGTTTCAACCATAGATGATAGAGAGAAATCGGGTTATGAAACCTGGCAAAGTTCTTTGTTGTATGTACGTTTTTGTTGGCTATTTTGGGGGTTGACCCTGAATTAACCTGGCAAAATACAAAAGGTGGTTATGTGCTCGTACAACTAACCAATAGAAGCATTGCGATTATTTAATTCGTGCATAGTCAATGAGCATAAAACAAAAGACGCACGGGTTCAAGGACTTTCCAACATAAATCTTAAAATACTAGTTTGTTCCTTTGATGTTCACCTGGCTTCTTTACCATTTCCCTCTATTAACTATGTTTTAACCTGCCCCTCGGGCAAGCGGAAAAACTGAGTTTCTTTGCACCCTGTGTCGGTGAGATGTTTGGGACTTTCCAAATATTTCTCAGGAGACATCATGCTGCAATGGGTTTATAACACTCCATGCTGCTCAAACACCGAAATTGACGGTAAATAAATGATTGATTGACCTTTAAAAGCTTCGCAGAATTCTGGCTCTTTGTGCCTGTGCCGTGGCTAAGATTTTAAGATAACCGCGAAATTTAGCAGTTCATAACTTAGGGAGTTTCGAAAGCCACACAATGCGTCGATTATCAAAGAGCCTGCTTCTAATTTAAAGAGCTTAAAAGATCTGATACTAAGCACATTAATTTAAAAGGGATTAATCTACTGTAACAGTTCCAGCGCTTTACTGACAAACAACACGTAAACAAGCCTTATTTTGTCAGGAGGACACCCATCAAGGTCTAAGTTTAGGTTCAAACAGGTATCGACAAATGAGCACATACTTCCGATACTTCACAAAGCTGAGAGGCTCAATCCATCATCACAGATTTTGTGAACTTCCCAACGTTGTAACTGACAGTAAACTGTTTCTTTGATTTAGTTCAACTCACGATAATGTAACAATCTTGAATTCACTTTTTCTCCTTAACGCAAGATCCTTATCGTGTAGAAAAATGTTTGCACGCCATTTCTAAACATGCTTACACGAAACAAGTTCATATGGAGAGGTCCCGATATTGAACGACATCTAAAGCAAAGAATTCTGTGCTCCTACAAACTATTGAACTTTATGCCGTTTAGATTTAGAGGTGTAGAATATTTTCCGTGCATTTCGTCTTTCAGAAAGCAAAGGTCTGCTATCTGCTATGAATTCGAACAAACTGGAAATAATTGATTAAAAAAAGAAATATCCTGCGCGCTGACCTTCCACTTCCTTGATTTTTCTAGAAAAGATCGAAGCGACTCTGCTAGCATTGCAACGGCACTACAAATAAACAAAACACTTGAAATGAGCTGCGTTCGACGGACTAGATACTTCTTAAGAGGTATGTTGCACTTGGCTGCATTAGAAACTTTTGGATAAAATTGTGGTTAAAATAGATAAGATTTTAGAAAAGTTCACACCATCAAGTACCTTCGCCGCTTCGCAGTCTGTTCCTTGTCGCTAGTCTTCTACTGCTTCTGCCAGCCGAGCGTTGAGCAAAGACTTCACAAACCAACCAAACTGCAACCAGAAGGCGCAAAAAGGAAACAGCTCGAATCGCCATGTCTTGATGCTTGAGATGATATCAATTCTGTTCCTTCCACTTGTCTCCTGAAAAGAGGAATGCATAAGCGTTATATACCTGTCGTATTTACTGGGCGTGTTTTACCGATGACGTGAGGCACGCGACTTAGGATTTAGGAATTTATATAATCGCACATTTCTTGCACGCATGCCAGGTTTTTAAAGTCTCGTTCATTAAATTGATAAAAATCTGTTGTTCTAGAGAGAACTGCGGGGTACTCCGCAAGTAACGGGTCAAGACTTGGTTTACTTTCGCAAGAGATAAAAGATAACCTGCAGTATAAACATAATCTTGCCACTTTGGTGTTTAATTTTGGACCACGTACACGCTATTTTTCCACGCTGTTTCTTAATTTGACGTTTTCGCGCTTTTTTTTCACACTAATTTGGTGATAAATACGACAGCACTTCCGTAATCACTTCAAATCGAATTTTCTCGAATGCGTTCCTTCTTAGACATTTCTCGCCTCGTTTTGTGTCTCACAGAGCCCAGGATACAACTCTAAAAGCTACATACATTGCAAACATGTCTTACGAAAGTGGAACAACATTTATTATTTGGCGAAATTGAGTGCCACCATTTTGGCGGAGTCCGAGAAGTCAGTTGGATGAACATTTGTTTGGTCGCAGGGTTTCCACAGGTCAGGAAATGGACAGAGGGAGTAATCCGTCAAGTCAGGAAAAGTCAGGGAATGTTATTTTGTGTCAGGGAAAATTGATATTTTGAATAAAAGTCAGAGAAAATTGAAATGATTTAATTAACATGGATGATTTACTGATACCACTTAAGGCTGGAGGAAACACTGAGTTCGGGTCAGTGGGGTCTCAATAATGCTTTTCTTTAATTAACCGGGTCCCATACTATTTTACCTCGCGTCACAACTTTATATCCTACTGGATCGTCCACGTTAGAAGTATCACAAATGTTGAAAGAAGTTCTGTAATGTTGAAAGAAGTTCTGTCCATGATACTAATCCGTCCGTAATCCGTCTTTCCCAGTCTTAACCCCTTACCATCCTGGTTCCTTTTTGATTTACTTTCTCTTCCTTCGTGTATTTTACCTTGAAATGATTAATGGGGCACTGTTACGGAAATTTTGTTGTATTTACGGATCAAAACCGTACACCTGCACACGAAATGCGCCAAGAACACTGAGATGAAAATATGAAGTGAATTGTTCAGTGATGAGAGAGCAATGTGAAGCGATTTTTTTTTTAGCGATTTTCGTAGGCAGGGCAAAAGAACTTGAAAACGTCTCTCAGACTTTTCCAATTTGACATCACAATCTTATAGCTTCTTATGGACGCCTTGCCCATTATAAGACTTCTTTTTCAGCTTCAGTGCACTTGTATTGTAATTTTGGACAAAACTAGACCATTATACTGGATTTAGCGACGGTTTTCATCAGTCTTTTGGGTTTTGACTTTTCAAAGTCATACCTGGAAATCAGCTGAATCTAACGTGCGCTCTTATTGGTTGATTCTTCGTGGTCACGTTGCAATGGCTAAGTTGAAATGTCGCCCGCGCTCCGGTCCCACTAACCAGAGGTTACTTTGACTTGGGGATAATTCTTCTTGCCTCATTACTTTAAACATAATTACAGCATAAACATTGTCATATGAAAGTGGTAAACGCTACGTTTTGACCGACACCCTAAACTTGTGAGAAGCACCTTTTGCAACACAATCAATAGCTCATAGCTCAGCTTCAGTAGCTTTTCAATTGAACGGTCACTCTTTCATACTTTTGAAGTAGCCGGAAAATGGCACAGCGATGGAAAACGCTGTTTTTTTAAAGGGTAGGTGGGCTGAGCGTTCCAAAAGCTTGCTAACGACATGTATAATATAGCCTCTTTAACTGTTGCTTGCAGAATGATGTTATCTTCCTTGGGGGCGTGGCATCTTAGGGTATGCACATGAAGTGCTCTGCCCTACAGTCGAATAAATAACACTGCTCGTGCCATGGTCTTCTCGGCATCCGAATGAACATTTCTCAGAATTTCTGAACTGTTCCGGTCGCCCTAGGCCCCGAAATTTGTTTTTGGGGGACAAATACCGCGTCCGTGTTTTTGTAATTGACGCAAACGTGATGCAAGCATAATGATTTTTGTTTATCTTAAAATTCGATGCCAAAACCCACTGTGCATGGACGCAGATTGCTTTTAAACCGGAAGGAAAATAGTTCGCGTTTATCACGAAACATTTTTTTGACTGAAAGTAGTCGCCTAAACCTTGAACAGTTCATTGTGCCATACCTGCAAAAAATGTTTTATTCCCGGTAAGCCCAATTCAGCAAGCTATTATAATATTATAAGTTCTCACTGTAATGAAAATTTGATAAGAATTTTAACTGAGATGCGAACAAAGCTAGATCTCATGCATGTACGAAGCACGGCATGGTCTGGCAGTCGGGGTCATTTTTTATCACATCCTTTTTGGCCGTTGGAGGGGAATAAAATTACCAGATATAGACTCAGCTGGTTCTAAAGGATGCTAGCTATAAACAAATTGGTTCTTTCTATCTATGCTAAATTACACGACGATGACGTTTGGTTTATTGATCGCATGCTAAACAGAATAAAGAACGACCGGTAAGGGGGAAAAGTTTTACGAAGCTCATAGAAATCA